AGTACCTTTTTTTGAACACCAGATGGCAGTATAAGACTGTTTGAACCGAAGGATGGATAGTGAGGGAGCGAGCAGCATGGCTCTAAGAAAAATAGGAGGGAGGCTCCTTGACGTGACATGGGCTGTCTCCCTTTCCTTTTTTCGAGCCCTTTCCTTTTTTCGGTTTTCAAAATGGCGGATGCTCGGTGTGGTTTGAGCTCTTTAGCATAGTATTTTTCACACAAAGTTTTTAATTTAAAAAAATCAGCAAACAAATTCTCAGCTTCTTTTTGCAGAGAAAAAATACTTTTTACACAAAGGCACAGGTTTCAAATGTGAATTTTGGAGCTTCGACAAGACGGAAGTTTTTCCCCTGAGGTTGGCCTGTTAGCTTAGCTCGTAGCTTAGCTTCTCAGCTTAGCTGCTTTTAACGATCCAAAAACACAATTTTGGACGGTTAAAATGGATTTTAAAGAGAAAGGGAGGGGTCAGTGAAGAGCACCGGAGTTGAGCCTTTTGTCATCCAGTGTCTTCAGTAGAAAAAAGAGACATGAAGAAACGATAAAGTTGATAAATGAAAATGTGGTTGATAATTTTCATTTATCATGTAATTAATTGAATTTTAGTTTATTGTGACTGGCCTACCTGAAACAACACCCCCAGCTGTATCGTTAGGTTAAGTTGTTGTTTAAAGTTAAAACTATTAATTTTGACAAAGTTGAGAGTTTTATGTTTATTTGATGGTCACTTCAAATTCCTTTGAAGGTTAAATACAAATAAAAGGTGAACATTAATTTGTTTGTACAGTTTTTCTGAGGCTTTTATATTGTTGATATCGATATTGGAATTATATCGTTATCAACCGAAATTAAGAAATATATTGTGATAAAAGTTTTGGCCATATCGTTCAGCCCTAAATTTACCTATCTAAAAAAAACAAGGTTTAAATTAATAGTTTTGAATACAATGGTCTGTAGGCAAGGGCGTCAGAAACATCTGTAATGTGTGTGTGGGGGGGGGGGGGGGAGACAATGATGTGTGTAGATGTGCCGCGCATGTGCATGTGTGTGTGTGCGTAAAAAAAAGGTATTCACTAGTGTACAAAAAAAGCAACATTTCACCTAGATTTCCTTTAATTCCACACATTTAAAGCATGTTTCTCACCAAGTTTGTGTAAATTCAGCTGTGGGTTTTAAAGACATTTTAACTTTAATGCACCTGAACACACAGCGTCTCTTACACCTGCAGCGTCTTAATGCTAAGCTATTAAGCTAACATGCTACAGGTAGCACTCCTCTCAAGTATCCTCCTAACATAAATATATGTTTATGATCAACACCCTGGTCAACAACTGCCCACACTAAGCATACTAAACTGGGGAGCGAGTAACACAGAGGTGTCTCCATCTCCTCCACCTGTGCGCGTTTTATGCCGAGACAGGAGACGCACAGAAACACTGTAGGTGTTACACCATATTCTGTGACCACCGTATATTGTGACCGTGGCAACAGGCTGCTTTTTTAGAGTTGGGGGTAACCAGGAAAACCTGGAGTGGAGTTTTAGTGGTCTGAGTATTCTCCTATTGATCAAGTGGAATGGATTCGTTCACGAAGAAAGAGAAACTGTGCCGCCTGAACTAATGTTTTATAGTAAAAGTGAGAGGGTCCAAATGAAAGTTTTTTTTAATGTGGGGGGGACTTGTCCCCTTCACATATAATGGTTGTGACGCCTATGTCTGTAGGGTGTTTTATGGTAAAAAAAAAAAAAAAAATACTACATCTGTTTGTGCCATTTTGCTGAATTTGACTTAGTTGTGTAAAAAATAGAACATTTAAGGCCCGGTTTACACGAGAACCATCTTTGGAAACAGACATTTTCTAATAATGACTGTGTTAGTTACATGTTTAAACACTAACGAAGTGCTCACTGATTCAGCTGTAGTGCCAGGTCACCAGCTGGAGCTTTGATTTTTATTTATTTATTGTATTTAAACGACACATGCATGCGCACAGACAATTCACGCTTTGAGCATGAAAATAATTAAATTCAATTTGGTGAATACGCGAACATTCATTTGGACCAAGGATGAGGTTGGGTTGTTCCTACACGTTGGACAAAAAAAGGGTGAATAGCACAAACAACACCCTGCTTTCAGCCGTTGCTACTGTTGTGATCCACTTGTGCAAGCCGAGAAAAACTACGGACTGCAGCCGTCCGTGATGCACATGTATGATTTCCCTTTAACCAGTGCTGGTGTTTACAAAAAAACAAAAACAACTTGACCTGAATTCAGAAAGTTTTGCATCAGAGAAAATGGCCGCTGTTGTCATAAGCACATATGACCAAAACACAACAGAAATTATATGGTTTTACTTAAAAAAAAAAAAAAGGCGTTGTGTAAACAAGGTCGAAGTCCGTGGGAATGTTGTGTATGAAATTTGTCCGTGATCCAAAAAAAATGTTGGAGATCGCACTGAAAAAAATACTTTCTTAATAGAACGCATAAATACATAGCATCAATTTTCCTGCCTGGATTTGTCCTCAACTTAGTTAGCTCAGTAAAACGCTCTGCAGCTCCTCAATAAAATTTTGTGAACAGATGCAAATCACCACGTGCGTTTGTTTACCTTCGGAAACAGCCGAAGCGAATGAAAATATGTCAAGAATGACAACCTCCATGGAAGAGCAGTTTGGAAGCGAGAGGTCAGACAGTTTTCATGTATTTGTACTTACTGACGCTCAGATTTGTTGTTTGAAGCGTGCAGATAAAAGGTTTGCACTGAGCATGCACCTGAAGAATTTAGGCTTGTTCATCGATGGAACTGGAAAACTCCTGGAATAAATCCATTTCAAACTGCACCTCTTGATAGTTCAGGATAACCTGCTTTATGTTGGGCTTCATAGTTGGCAGAGTAGATTTAAAAGTCACAAACTGGTCCGAGTTACACCGTTACTCAGGAAACTGTGTCAGAGTAGCCCTGATGTTTCACCTTAAAGCTGTTACAAGCAGCTAATTAACCAATATTTAATCAACTGCACATCAAACAAATCTTAAAGCACCAACTATAGAATGCAACTCATTAAGATAACAAAATTGAAAGGGCCGTACAATCTCTAAATACGCTCACGTTTATCACCGAGGGCCGGTGATAAAAAAAGACTATACTCTGAGGTATTGAGCTGAGCCTGATGGGACACCAATGGCAAATCCTATCAACATTTAACAACGGGGGGATAAAGATCCCCCAGAAAAAGAAAGCACCCTCATTAAACTGATAAACTGCTGCTGCTTGTCTTAAAAAATGAAGCCCACTCCTCCTGATTACAATCGTGATGCAAAAGCAAGGAGGGCCTCCAGATTTTAAACTGTCGTCGACCAAACTGGATGAACTTCAGCTGGTTTCCAATAAAGGAGAAGACGTAACAGGAGCTCTAATGCACACTTGTATTAATGCCAAGTCAGAATTCATATTATTGGTTTCCTGTTTATAGCTTTTCCTGTACTTTTTTTTTTTTTTTACTCCAACTGCATACTTGGTGCTATTTTAACCATTCATACACCGAATTGTTTGGCACGACTGGGAATAGCTACCATTTTGCTACTTTTAACTTTTGGCAATGGTTTTGTTCATTTTAGCCAATAGCTGTGATTTTGCTCATTTTGACTTTTTGCCACTGATTTACTAATGTTAGCTTTCAGCTATGGATTTGCTCGTTTTAGCTAGCAGCTGTGATTTTGCTCATTTTAGCTTTTGAGCTACTAATTTACTGATTTGATTCATTCATTCAACCTTTATTTAGACAGGTACATCCCACTGAGCCTCGAGGACATTTACAAGAGAGACCTGATTTCAACAAAGAATGACAACACTGGACAACAGTGACAACAACAAACTGTCACAAAAAGTCATACAGATTTTTTTTTTTTTTTTTTACAAATAGGAAGGCTAAAAAAAGAAAAGAAACATAGAAACAGCTAGATTCTAAGGCGAATGTAGAAAACTAAAAACAGGAACATGTCTGCATTTTAGCTTTCAGCTATAGATTTGGTCCATTTTCGCTATTAGCTAAGTTTTTGCTCAATGTAGCTTTTAGCTATGGTTTTGCTCGTTTTAGCTTTTATAACATCAGCTTTAAGATACAATTTTGCTCATTATAACAGTCAGCAACAATTTTGCTCATTTGAGTTGTTCGCTAGTTTCATTCATTTTAGCTCTTAGCAGCAGTGCAGCTACTTTTCGGCTGATTTAAGCTACATTTCTGCTTGTTTTACCTTTTAACGGTTCGGTTAACATTTAATTCTTCAACAAATGTCAGCCAATTCATCCAGCACTCGGCATTTGCACCGATTCTCACAGAAAATGGATTTCTCCAGTCTGAGCTGCATGTTGCACACCCACCCTGCACCCAGAGGCCTCACTGATCTGGCTCCAGGATCCCTGCTGTACTGGGGGGGGCCAGGGGCCACTGGAGTGCCCCTTCCTCTCGTTTTAACACGAGTCCTTCCTCCTCAATCAGCAGGCGAACAGCAATGCAGAGGCATGCCTCTGCGCCAAACAGCTCACCTTATAATTGGGCTTTAAACGAGAATGACAGGTGCTGCTTAAGCTCCATTTCTGTACATCTGAGCACCATTCTGTCCCGTCATCGTTCAACATCCAGCAGTTTGTGTGTGAAAACATTTGCTCGACAGCCTCCAATGCAGAGCTATGCTGCAAAACACTCCCTGCGTTGTTCATCCCCAGCCTTTTCCTCCTTCTAGGCCTTAAAACCTCCATGAGAAATCTAATAATTTCCTTGTTAGAAATGCGCAAACGGGCGATTTCATCTGAAGGTGTCTGCCTGGAGACAGAGCACCGACTGAGTGCGCAGGGAGGGAGACAGAGAAAGCATAAATCCAGAGAAAGACGAGCTGACACATATCTCCCCGACTTGTAGCCATATCGAAAGAGGGGGGGGGGGGATATGCGGTTTAATTTATATATTTTTTTGGTTTTAGATGGTCAGTCTGCTGAGCTTACCTTCCCTCGCCTTCAGGAGAACCGTGTTGGCCACGATATTTTCAATCTCCATTGTCAGAATCCCGAGCAGTCCCGACACATTTCACTCAGCGGGGGGAAGAAAGAAAAAAGACGGTTTCACTGATCAAAGGTGCCGACGACGGTGAGACTGCTGCACGCGCGCAGGGCGAACGCGGCACTGACGCATAATAATAACAGGACTCTAATCACGGCCGTCGTTCCTCTTCATTGTTTTTTTTATTTATTTATTTTTATCAAACCTATAGAGCAATATGGTTACAGAGGAGCTCGTTAGCATTCAGAGCCAGCCTGCTTTCCTTCCTTCCTGCTTCAACTCCCTCCTCCTCTTCCTCGACCCTCCTCTGCACAGCGAACCAGGGGAGAGTAGGAGGGATCAGTTTACAACCACCGCAGCCACACACGTTCACCCACAAGTGCGTTCATACATGAAAACATGCCTTTAAGAAGCTCGCGGGCTTCTGGAGTCATTGATGGTTCAAGGGAGGGGTCCCCAAAAGGCGGGTGACGGGCCGCACCCGGCCCCAATGAAGTCTTATTTGGCCCCAGATTTGTTTTTAAATTAAAGTTCAGTATAGGGACAATTCAGAGTTACCAATCAGCCTAACATACATGTTTTTGGTCTGTGGGAGGAATATATATATATATATATATATATATATATGTATATATGTATATAAACACACATATAGTCCCTTGCTACTTGCGGTTCGACTTTCGCGGACTCCTTTGAGGACTCACTCTTTTGCGGTTTTTCAACATAAGATTGTACACGACACACGTTTATCAACTTTAATATTACTCACGTGACGATACGGGATAAAAAGTTAACGGGAAAAAAATACTTCTGACAGATGCCGCCATTTTGTAGTTTTCTTTCAATAAGCCTATACTGTAATGCAAGTCAAAAGAACTACACTACCCAGAAGCCATCAGTGTTTCCGGCCACTGCTTTCTGCAAGGCATAGTCATCTATCTATTAAGCTCACAGAACTGGCAGGAAAATGGCAAATAATCCTGAAGTTTCCTGAAGCTCAATTATTCCCGCACATAAACCTGAACAGGGCGATGGGCTTCGTTGCTGCAGGGTAGGCCTGCAGAACCAGAACCAAGTCTGACCGGAACCGAGCTGCTGTTCTGCAGAGCTGGTAACTAAAATTTTGCAGTATTGTACAGCACATATACATATGTTGTTAAAATTACTTAGGTTTAAGAGTTTAAAACATTGCAAGAGTGAGGGAAGGGTTTATTTTATTTATTTAAAAATTTCGGCTGCTCCCTGCATTAGGGGTCGCCACAGCAAACTAAGTCGCACGAAGACTTGGCAGTTTCTTTGTTTTTTTACGCCGGATGCCCTTCCTGATGCAACCACAAACCACCGAGCTACCACTGCCCTCTGTGTGGAGCAGAGAGCTGCCATCTAGGGTGCCTGGAGGAGCAGATGGTGGGGGTTCAAGGCCTTGCTCAAGGGCCCAGAGTGGGGCAAATGAGGGCGGGTGTGTCACCTATCCCACCCACATTTTTTTGATGTTGTCGGTACCGGGGCTTGAACCAGCAATCTTCCCATCTTCTTTAACCTCTGTGCCACCACTCCCTTCATAAAGCCTTAAAATATATATAAATACTAAAAAAAATATAGTGTTCCTATTCTGTGTTTTTTCACCTATCACGGTGGTGTGTGGAATGTAACCCCTGCAATATTTGGTGTAATATATGAGTAAATCATCTGCTAAATGTGAAAGATTAAAAAAAGTTTGAGTAAGACAACTGTCAAGGACCAATAACTGGGATCAGGCAGGATGGTGAAGGGCAGACTGGGCATTCAAACACAGCTTTTGCAACATTTCTGCTAGAATAAATGTATCATTTGACCTATTTTCAGTCAATCTTTCTACACAAGAGTACAAGTTTTTACTTTAAGAACACCTTAACCATCGATGTGAGTAAGACGCGGTGCTAATTTTGCTTCTGAGTTTGTGTGTTCTGCCTCGTCTTCATGACTGTGCAATGAGTAGCTGTAAAGCAAAGCTGTTAATTGAGCTGCAATTGTGGTTTAAAACCTGCTAATTTGGGCAAATTTCCACCCAAGGCTACCACGCAAGACATGCGAGTAAAAATCTGGGAAAATGAAACATTTCCCGCCATTTAAAGGACTATGTCATAAGTCCTGAGTCATCCCTCATTGTTTGAATCCTTATGAAGCAGTCACACTGTTGGCATCTATTTTTCTTCTGTACATTTTTCTCGTTCCATAATTTTTGTGCTATTTCAACAAAACGTTCAGCTCTTTCAGGACAGTCCTGCCAAAACTTTTGGTATTAGTGCAACTTTAGCTTTTTGAAATATTTAGCCTTTTCTGCCACTTTTTGTCTCATAGCAAATGAGATGAGCTCATTTTACATCCTTCATATCTTTAGATGTGTTTACAACCTCTCACTGCTCCTTTCACATTTTGTTCTGCTTCAGCTTCTTTCAGCTTCCTTGTGCAAATTTAAACTATTTTCCAGCTACTTTCAGCTAATTTCAGCTGTTTTGTGCTTGTTTCAAGATCTTTAGGTTAACTACAATATTTTTTTGTTTCTTCTAAAAACTTTCTGCTAATTTCAGCTTGTTATGCTCTTTTCAGTTTACTTCTGCAAGTTTCAGCTTTTCTGCTATTTAGCTGTTTTATGCTAAATTTAGCTTTTTCAACTAATTCCACTTTTGTTTTTAGCTACTTTTCAGTTGGTTTTATGCTTATTTAAGCTTTTTACAGGTACGTGTTATTTCAACTTTTTTTGTGCTCATTTCTGCTACTTTCAGCTTATTTGGGCAACCATGTGTTCTTTCTGCTTTCTTCTGCTAAATTAAGCTTGTTCTACTTTTTTCAGCTACCTTTTTTAGCATTTAGCTCATTTCAGCTATTTTCAGATAAATTCAAGCTTTTCATGGTAATTTCTGCTACTTTCAGCCTATTTAAATTACTTCAGCTAATGTCAATTTATTATGCTCCTTTTAACTTATTTCTGCTAGTTTCAGTTATTTCATTTAGCTGTTTTATGCAAATAATAGTTTTTTTCAGCTAATTCCACATTTTTTGCACTCATTTCAACTTTTATGTTCTTTCTGCGTTCTCCTGCTGATTTACACTTGTTCGACATTTCAAGCTATGTTTTCAGCATGGTTTTAGCTAATTTCAGCTGTTTTTCAGCAAGTTCTCCTGCAATAAGCATCCACTCTGCATTTTCACAGGAAATGCAATTTCTCTAGTTTTTTATATTTTGTTTTATGAAGCCAGACGTCGTTGTAATCACGCCCTGTTTGCTGAAGGGAAAAGTTGATAATGTTATTGCACGTATCTTTTCAAATGTGTTAGCAAAATATCCTGAACCACTGGACAGATTTTAATGAAACTCTCAGAAAGTAATCATTGAATGTGCATCTGCGGCTCATAAACTTTTAGAGTCAACCCAATTCAAGATGGCCACCACAGCTAGGCAACCTTAGAAAACACTTAACTGATGATAACTCAGTTTCACTGATATTAAGCTAAAATTTTGGTGTGATAGTAGCTGAGAGTCATCCTCAACAAATTCTATGAGCACGAACATCTTGTGCTTTTCCTTTCCAGGTCATACGGCAGCTGTCCATATCCAGCAGTCGCTGTACAAAAGGCAGGGGACACTTTGGACAGGTCTCCAGTCCATCACAGGGACACGTGGAGACAAACAATCATTCACTCTCTCACTCACACCTAGGGACAATTTAGAGTTACCAGTCAGCCTAACATGAATGTTTTGGTGTGTAAGAGGACTTGCAAACATGCTGCAGGTCTCCTTTTAAGGCCTTACTTTTAGTTTTTGTCATCAATTGCCCACTTTCCACATTATTATGTGCATTGTGCTGCCTTGGAGCAATAATTGGGCAGAAAATTGGTGGAAAATTTTAAACGGTCCAAATTCAAAAGAAAACTTTTGTATTTGTTCAACGTTACATTAACAGATTACAAGAAAGTTTGTCTCATTGGAAGCTAAATGGGCTTTGACATGAACTCAAACGACGTGTTTTAATTAAAACATAAACATAGTAGAAAACTTTTTTTTCCCCTGTACAGAAGTGTAACGCGCTGCTCGCTCATGAAACATCACACTCGGCTGCTATCAACCACAGACACCTGATACGGACCTCTTATTTTATGAGCAATGGGTCTGAGTTGTCACATTATGCCATGTTGTGCAGTCTGCAGAAAAGAGATAACACACATTTCTCCCCCCCCCCCTCTCCACAGTCCAGCATCCCCCCAGGGCTTTTCACATCTGACTCTTTGTGAACTTGCAGTGCTTCAGACAAGAGTTATGTGTCTGCAGGAACAGATGCTGCTCGCAGTGTGAGATGATGAAGGAGGTGCCAACATTAAAAAAAAAAAAGTTTTTGAAAAGGTGTACATTTTCACAATGGCTGAGTGTGAAACATGCTTTCGGTTTGTGGTTTAGTTTTTGTTGCTGTGAGGCTGGTGAAGATCTCAGAGCAGTAACTTAAAGGTATTTGTGAACCTGTGACTCGACAAGCTCCAATGACAAAATCACAAAGTTTGATACTGACTTCCTGTTGATTGTTCGCGCACAGCATGTTACTGCATCCATCAGGTGCTGTATGTCATGTTGTGTACATTTTAATAAAAAATAAACAAGAATACCTTTCTTTTTACTTAAATATGTGATCAGGTAGAAAATAATAACATTTTATTATAGGGCTGCTTATATCCTAAACAATCTCTGTGCCCTGTAAACTTAAATGGCCTACAAAGTCCATGTTGAATCACTGCTGCCCCCTGGTGGTGAATTTACAGAAACGCAAAAAGACGAAATGCACTGTCTTGAATTTCTAACTGTTTTTCTTTATTCTGTAGATTTTGTCATAAATAAACTGCAAATAAAACAGCAAAAATAAAGCTGTGCGTAAATGTTTGAATTGTTAAATCATTTTACTGATCAAAGCAGTGTGGCTGTGGACACGTGGAGGTAAAGTCAAACCAGCTAAGTAAAGTCATGAAAGCTCAACTCTAATTCTTTGAATCCTAATTAATGTTTAGGTTTTAATTAAAATAAACAACTAAATCAATAAACAACGCAAACTATTGCGTTTTCACACAATAAACTGTTACATGTTCTAAAACAACAACAAAAATGGTGTTTTTTGAACAACTGGTTTATTCCTCAACAGTAGTTTTACTCTCACCCTTTTATTTTCAAATGTTTTACATCTTCAGTGTTCCTCACCAGTTTAATGCAAGCCACATTTTGAACACCAGGTGATGCTGTCGACTCAAAAGTGTATTTTTAAGGTCTCAACTCAAGAGTTCATCATTTATTAATAGTAACAGTAAATTGTCTGCTGTCTCTGTACCTGGATGGCAAATTAAAACAGTAAAAGAAAAACGTCACTTTAATGTGTCCCGTGTGTAAATCTATTGCTTTGTACAAGTGTTTTATCTCTCTTTATCATCGTTTTCATCTGGTCTTTGACCACAAAATGTAGTTTTATTACTCTTGTGAGCTTTTATTGCAGCCTCACGAACTGTGAGAGTTGAGGTAAGACGTGAGCTTCTTGTTCGCTCAGTGCAACTGGTTAGCTTTGTGCGCAAAACAAAATGCTCTTTTGCAAGTGAGAGCATGCGAAGATATGTTGTTTTATAAACTGCTGCAGATTTTGAGCTGGGATCCATAGATGCTTTGTGCAAAGACTGCACCTACAGTATTTAGATGTCTATATCTCCATCTCCAACTTTTATCACTTGTCCTTGGTCAGGTTTGCAGAAGCAACAGTTCCAGGAGAGAAACCCAAATCCTCTCCACAGCGACACTCTCCAGCTCCTCCTGGAGATCTTCAAGGCTTTCTCATGCCAGAGAGGAAATATAATCCCTCCAGCAAGTTCTGGGTCTACCTCAGGATATTTTCTCAGTGGGACATGCCCGCAGAGCCTCTAAAGCGAGGCGTAATAATCAGATGCCCAAACCACCTCGAATGACTCCTTTCAATAAAGAGAAGCTGTGTGGTTTGAGTCCTGTGATCCTTGGGTGTATGTTGTCTGGGGCATCAGACTCTGGTAGGGTCTCCAAAACCAAGAGCCCTCAGGAGAGGGGTCAGGCCAAAAACGATTCAAAAACCTTGATGGATAACATTAGTTGAATAAGGGAAACTGGACCAGGCCTGAGTAGGAGCTCTCAGGGGACGGCATGGTGGTTGAGCATTGGCACCTGTTGCACAGCTAGGCTGAGCACAAAAGGGAGACGGAATGGTACAGCCACATGGACCCACCACCTGCGAGGACCATCAGGCTAGGTACCATGCAAGCCAGGCGGCAGGCAAAGGAAGTCCTGACTGTGCCTATCCCTGATGGCATAGGGACATAGATGATGCTACTGATGTTTGGGGTGTCAGTGGATGAGTGGTTAGAGCAGTCATCCACCAATGCAAGAGTTGGGGGTTCGATTCCACCAGCAGTCATGCCAAAGTGTCCCTGGGCAAGACACACGGAACCCCTCATTGCCTCCTGTGTGTCCCATTGGTGTATGAATGTGATAAAGCACTGGTCGTTCCCACTAAACATTAGACGTCGAATGGATGTGCAGATCACGTTTATATTGAGTCCGTGGATCTAGACCAATTCTGGACGTCTCCACGACGTGCAAACAAGGTCCACTCTGGACGTCTAACCATGACCTCACTTGTACGTCGATATAAAGTCGAATGTTTGAACGTCTGACTTGGAGGTCGTATAGACATCCAAGACAGGTGCAGGTGTGCCTTAGTGAATCATCATTTTTATAACCATAAAATTTACAATCATAATTTATAATCATAAAAGAGTAACTGTGCACATTTACTCTTATGATTATAAATTTGCACTGCTTCATTCATAAACCAACTGTTGCTATTTTCTCTCGAAGCTATTTCTGTTAATCCAGTAAAGAGGATAAAGGAACAAATTTAAGGAGTGATTTATTTGTAAAACTTAGTCCAACTGTTTCTAGTGACATTTAAGGAGTGATGATTTAATTGTAAACTATCTGTAGTGCGTAGTTTCCTGTTGCACATTAGATGGTCAAATAAACTGTTTCTTTAATTTTGTTTGCTACGCAGAGATGCAGCAACGGCAGAGCAGCTGACTTTAAACCCGAAGGTCCAGTCATTCCAACATCCATCTGAGGGTGAATGTGTTAAACACTGCAGGGGAACATACAATGAAGACAACACGAAGCACTTACTAATTATTTTATTATCTGAAGTGAATAAAATAAGTTAAATTTCGATGTAGAAAATACGTCTATATTGACCGTCCAGTGGACGTCGGAAAAAGACGTCGTCTGTCATAACTGCACCTGCAAGGGACTAAAATTAGACGTGCAAAAAAGACTTAAAAAAGACGTCATTAGACGTCTCCTTGCTCAGTGGGTTCTTTGTATTAGAGTGTTATAGGAATGAGTAAATGAGGACACAGATTGTAGTGTAAAGTGCTTTGAATATCTTGATAAGATAGAAATGTGCTATATAAGTGCAGTCCATTTACCATTTACTTAAATAATATAATAAAAAATGTCCATCAGGTAGTTAAAACCTGCTTTGGCTCAATGAAACCCTGTAGATCAAAGAGGAAAGGTTAGTGACTGATTCCAGCGTGGTAAAACTAGTCAGGGTAGTTTACCTTGATGTCCTCAGGTAAAGTGAGGTACGACAAAACAATTCTTGTGCACACAATAAATCCATAAAGTTTTGAATATGTGTGGAAAGACAGTCTTGTGAAAAAGTGTGTTGGGAATGAATCTCAGCTACTACCATGCTGAAGTTTAGCTCAATACGCATAGGGCCATTTTTATGTTTGCTAATGTTGCTCATCTGTGGTGATCATCTTGAATTGGGTTGACTCCAAAAAATAAATAACTGTAGATGTACATCCAATTGTTATTATTATTAGAGTTTCATTGAATCTGTAGTGGTTCATCAACTATTTTGGTAACAAATGAACACACAAGAACAAAAGTTTTGTTGCCTTCAGTGCCTTTTTCCTTAATTTGTACAAAAAAACAATAAATTACACTTTACACTGATAATATACAAATATTTACACTGTAATTTAATCGGTGTGCTAGTTGTTCGTTGAGATTGTGGGGAAATAAAACAGCTGATGAGATGTATGTTGTGTCACATGACCTTTCTCCGAGATACCCCGTTGCCAGGTGTACGGCATTTTAAGGGTTTATGGTTTATACGATACAAGACAATACGATACAAGTTTTTAAACAGCCCAAATATATGATAGCTCTGGCATTTATATTTACCCCATAAAACTCTTTTTTTTCAATTTTATTATTTTTTTTTTAACCTGAGTCCTCACTAAGCGCATACAATAGTTAAGGTCAAAATACAATGTTTTAAAGCGGCAGTACAATATATCGTCATTTCCTATCTGGCAACCCGGCCACCCTTTTTGAAAACAGACTAACTCTGAAGCAAAAGGAAACGCGGTGGTCAAGACTCCAGCAGTGAATTCCCTCCAGCAGTGAATTCCCTCTGACCTGTTTCACTTGTAGAGCTAGTTAAAATATATATTTTCAGAATGTTTTCACTCGGGGAGACGATGGAGTTTCTCCTCGGAAACCCCTTTTCTACGCCCGTCGGACAGAGAATCGGTGAGTCGCAGCAGCGGGTTTTTGAAGTTTTACCTGTTGATTGTTGTCATTTGTCTGATTTAAACTCTCACCCAAAGGGTTTCAAGATTTTAAGCTACACCACTGTTCACCTAAAACAACTTGACGGGGTGTTTTGTGTGTGTTTTTCTCCGTTATGAGCTTCTAATCATAAAAAGGGGAAAGAAAAGTGCAGGGGAGGGACTATACAGCAATGGGCGGTGCTTATTTTTGAGTTTCTTATCTGATTGGCTATTGGAAGTTGAGCGACAGCTCTTGTGGCGAATCCCAGAGCATCTTAGTGTTTTCTTCTACTTCCTCTGTGACTAAAGTGTTTTCTTCAAGGCATAGTTTCATATCTTTTACAAAGATCTACCACATCTGACCAAACGTGTTGTTTTGTCTTTGTACGGCTTGAAAACACCAGAATTTACCTCATTTAAAAAAAAAGTTCCCCCTCATAAAAGGAAAAAAAACTTTCTAAGGCCCTCACATTCATTGATGCCTGGAAATTAATCAGGGCAGTCATGAGTGGAGCATCCATCTCAGCCCTTCCTTCCTCTTATTTCATCCACTCACTTTCTTGCACATAGGTGCGGGTTCTGACAGAAGCAGCTGACTGTCACATGAAGTGGAGGGGAGCGCTGGAGGGAGGGGAGAGGACTAAATGGGACTGGGAAAGGCAAGATTGAGAGTGTTTGGTGAAGTGTGCTTTTGGTGGAAAGGAATGAGATTTAGAGACTTATTCTGAGCTGCTGAAGGGTGGAGTGCCAAAAGCTCACCCTGATTGCAAAATAGTTGGGAGGAAAATATCTTAAAGGCTTACAGTGTTTTCTTATAAGTTATAACAACGATTTATAGTTGAAATTAATCAAGAAAAGTTAATTTCAATTAACTTTTTTTATTCATAATTTTCAGACTAAACCTATTGAATAAACACAATGAGTATGATATTTTTAAGGATCTATATGTACCTAGTATAATGTGTCTTATAGCAAAAATGTCGTTTTTCTCTACTGCTCTGCAGTGCCTGCATATCAAACCGATATCTGATTTTACATATAACAAAAACATCCACAGCTTTTAAGAAAAGACCATAAAAAGTACAGCATGAGGTTGCAACCAAAGCTACGGAGATTGTCTCAGTGGGTTTATCTTTAGTGCTGCATTTAAGTTCATCCTGCAGACATTGAAAGGGTCATCACAGAGCGAGGGTCAGGGTAGAGGTCTCGATGGAAAACACTGAAAATAAGTGAAAAGTAGTTAAATTTTAAAGGATCTTCAGAAAGCTCAAAGAACAATTGATCAGGAGCACTTTTAAGGATTACAACAAAATCTTATATGCATTTTTTGTTGTTTTGTGTCTTTGTGTGTGTGTGTGTATATGTATGTGTATGTATATATATATATATATATATATATATATATATATATATAAAAATATATATATATATATACACACACTTCAAGGAAAAGAGTTGTGGTTGAGAGTACGGTATGTTTGTGTTTTCCACTAATGATGGGTTATCTTTCTTTGTCGTTGTCCTCGTTGTTGTTGACGACAGAGCGAGCCACCAGCAGCTCTCTACAGTCGGAGGACTGGGCGCTCAACTTGGAGATCTGTGACATCATCAACGAGACGGATGAAGGGTGAGAAAGACGTTCGCTGACTTTTAGTCTCTCTGGGACTTTCCAGCTGGCACACTCAGCTGAAAATAGTCGTTTTTTTTTTCCTGTAGTTTTATTTATCTTCTGCACAAATGAGGTCAAAATTGTGCACATTGTGTCACTTTTTACAGCAAATAGCCTCTTTTATGGCTGTGATGTTTATCTGTGCAGTTGAATACATGACCTTTAACAGAACATTAGATTTTGTTTAACTGTATGTCTTCAGAGGTTATATATATTTTCTTCATACGCCAAACCTGCTCAATGTATCTGCATTAGAACATCTTACAGCTTCCCTTTCTTTTCTTTGTTTATTTATATTTAATCCATCACAAAGTAAATGTCGACTGATTCGAAGTGGTCTCCCTTTAGGCCCAAAGATGCAGTTAAAGCCATTAAGAAGAGAATAATAGGAAACAAGAACTTCAGGGAAATCATGCTGACTCTCACTGTGAGTAACCTTTTTGTTTATTTTTTGTTTTGTGGATGGATGGAGGATCGTGGAGTGTGATGAGATGTTTAACTAAACAGACTTGTTCTGGTTTTCTGCTGACCAAAAGGAGATGATGCGCATGTTTACTTAGCCAGTTGTAAAAATTCACAAACTCATGCAGTTTCACACTCAGACTATGGGATGTGACTGACTGTCAGGCAAATTTTAGCTCAATATTTGTTAAAATAACTGAATTATAGCCCATTGTTTATCGTGTGTCGCCTCGTGTTTTGCCCTCAGGTTCTTGAGACGTGTGTGAAGAACTGTGGCCATCGTTTCCATATTTTGGTGACCACCCAGGAGTTCATCGAGGGGGTTCTGGTCCGTTCCATTCTGCCCAAATACAATCCGCCCACGGTGCTCCATGACCGCATCCTCAGCCTCATTCAGGTGTGTGCGCCACAGAAAATGTTTGTATTTGTACTTACACTTTAAGATGATTTCCATTATCAAGCCACTTTTCTCTCGCTGTACCAGTCATTTAATCCTCCTGCTGCCTTTGGGTCAAAATGACCCCCGATGTCTTCTTATTTACACCGAGGCCTCGTAGGACCTTTATTCCAGAAAGACTACTTGACATTTTTTGCCTCTTGAATTATGCATCTGAACACAGAAGTATTTCTTCATAAATGATGGAGATGTTTTTGTCTTCAGTCGTGGGCGGATGCATTTCGCAGCACTCCCTCCTTATCGGGGGTGGTATATGTATATGACGACCTGAGGAGGCGAGGTCTGGAGTTTCCCATGACGAACCTGGACACCCTGTCCCCCATCCACACTCCGAACAGGGTGAGACTGGCTGTCCTTGAGAAGTACGACACACAATCAAATGCAGATGTGTGTTTTAGCTCATGTGTTACCTGTTTGACCAATTCTGCAGAGTATCCCAGAAAACGGGACCCCTGAAGTGACCCCTGCTGCTGCTGCTCCCACACTTCAGTCTCAACCACAAGCTCCTGCCAGTGCTCCCAGTCAAAATGACTCTGCTCCGGTCCAGACCAGTGACGGACCGGGTCGTCTGTCTCCAGAACAGGTGCCGTAAACTAGACCTTCCTGAAAAAGCTTTTTGAAATAACGATTCTTTACGAAGCTTTTTAAACCTGCTCAGAATTTACATTTGGTTCAAGTTAAACGTTGCCTCATTTTGCGTGCTGCAGCCAGGATTACTTGGCTTTTGTTTTAAATTTGGTGGAATTTCAGGAACAGAAGCTGCGCAGGGAGCTGCAGCTGGTGAGGGGGAACGTCACCGTAATGTCTCAAATGCTGAACGAGCTCGTACCTGGACAGAGCAAACCGGATGATGCCGACCTGCTTCAGGTGCGTGCTCCATCTGAAAGACCTGAGCAGCATCTGATATGGCTGTACTGAAAACAAACAACGGTTCTCTGTAACTCCTGTTTACAAATATTTTAGTGTTTAAAATCTGAAAAACATTAGCTAAAATGAGCAGAACTGGAGGAAATCTTTGTAAAGTAGACAAATTGCATTTCCTGCGAAAATGCAGTGTGGATCATTATCTGGTCTCTCTTGTGAATGAGTCCTCGAGGCTCAATGGGATTTACCTGTCTAAATAAAGGTTGAATGAATGAATGCTTATTGCAGAAGAACTTGCTGAAAACAGCTGAAATTTGCTAAAAATATTCTGAGATATAGCTGAAATGAAAGAACAAGCCTAAATTAACAAAAGAAAGCAGAAAGAACACATATTGGCTGAATTAGATTTAAGTAAGTTGAAATGAGCGCAAAAAATAGGAAATCAGCTACAAAAGCTGAAATTAACAAAACAGCTGAAAAGTAGCTGAAATGGCCGAAAGAAGCTTAAACTACCAGAGGGAAGTGGAAAGAGATGAAATGAGCCAAAAAATGTGGAATTAGCTGAAAAGGTCAAATTTTGCACAAAACAGCTAACTACTAAAATCGCAGAAATCAGCCGAAAGGAGTATAACAAGTTGAAATTATCAGAAAAATTTAATTAGGCTGAAAGTGGCAGAAATTACCAAGAAAAACTTGGAATTTATCTGAAAACAACTGAACTTGGCTAAAAAAAAGCCAAATGGGTAGCTGAAATGGTCGAACAAGCTTAAATTGGCAGAAGAAAGCAGAAAGAACATACGTTTGTCCAATTAAGCTGAAAGAAGCTGGAAAAAGCTGAAATTAGCAAAAAGAAAATCTGAAAAGTAGCTACAAAGGCAGAAAGAAGCTTAAATTACCAGAAGGAAGTGGAGAGAGCACATTTTTGCTAAATTAAAATCTAAAAACTTGAAATGAGTGCCAAAAGGTTGAATTAGCTGAAAAAGTTAAAATTAGCATAAAACAGCTATATAGTAGCTAAAATAGTAGAAAAAGCTGAAACTTGCATGAATAAGCTGAAAGGAGCATAACAAGCTGAAATTAGCAGGAAGAAGTTAGAAAAATTGTTCTAGTTAGCAGAAAGAATCTGAAAGGAGCACAAAACAGCTGAAAAAAACAACTGAAATTTGCTGAAAATAGCTGATTTAAAAAAAAATTGCACAAGGAAGTTGAAGCAGAAAAAAAAATGTGAAAGGAGCAGTAAAAGGATGTAAACAGAGCTAAGAATTTGAAGGATGTAAAATTAGCTCAAATCATTTTTATGAGAAAAAAATGGTAGAAAAGTGTAAATATTTCAAAAAGCTAAAGTTGCACCAAGACCAAAAGTCATAGCAGGATTGTCCTGAAAGAGCTGAACATTTTGGTACATGATTTGTTGCTATAGCTTGAAAACTGCAAGACAAAAATTGTGCCGAAAAATGTACAGAAGAAAAATGGATCACAGTGTGAATGCTTCATAAACATTCACACAATGAAGTTAAATATTCAGAAAAGTATTAAAGTTACAGGAACCAGAAGCACTCGGACAGTAACTCTGCCCGTTTTGTTTGGGTTTTGTCCGAGCAGCAGCTGTTTTCTGTGTGTAAGAACATGCAGACCCGTGTGGTCGAGCTCATCCCACAGTTGCTGGATGAAGGTTTTGTGGAAGAGCTGCTCATCGTAAACGACGACCTCAACAACATCTTCATCCGCTACGAGAGGTGAGCTGCAGCTCGCTTTGAATATTCAGACGTGTAAAATCAGTACGCCTAACCTTCTTATCGCAACTTTGTTGTAGGTTTGACCGGCTGAACAAGGCTCAAAGTACAAACACCCAACAGGTAAAATAAATGCATTTACTCTATTGTTTTAGAAAGCAGAACCTTTTTTGTGTGTGTTTTTATTTTATAAAACTTAACACGTTTCTCTTCCTTATAGCAGAGCTCAATTATGAGCCCTGAACCTCCAACCAATGACCAACCTGCTGTTATTCCAACAACCAGCCAATCAACAGTCAGCATCGGCACCAATCACCAGCCGTCAGCCAATCACAGTGAGTCAACTTCACCTTTGCTTCTATTACAGAACAGAGTCTGTAACATTTCTCACTTGTTCTGTGAATGTTTATGAAGCATTCACTCCACTGTGATCCATTTTTCTTCTGTATGTGCTGCGGCGCGATTCTTGTCCCTCAGTTTTTAAGCTATTTCAACAAATCGTATATCAAAGCACTTCTTTTAGCTTTCTTATGCACATTTAAACATTTTTTCAGCTACTTTCAGATGTTTTTTCAGCTGTTTTGTGCTCCTTTCAAATTATTTCTGCTAACTACAACATTTTTGTGCTTCTTCTAACTTCTATCTGATCATTTCAGCTTGTTATGCTCCTTTCAGCTTATTTCAGCAAGTTTCCGTTTGTTTCTATTTTAGCTACAGTTGTTTTATGCTAATTTAAGCTTTATCAGCTAATTCCACATTTTTTTTTGCTCTCATTCAAAGTTTTTTTCAGCCAAATTTTGTAAAAATGTGCTCTCTCCACTTCTTGTAATTGCAGCTTCTTTCTGCTTTTTAGCTACTTTTCAGCTGTTTTTTTATTTATTTTTTTTATTACTAATTTCAGCTGTTTTCGGATTTATTTTTTTTTTGTGCTCATTTCTGCTTCTTTCAGCCTCATTGGGCAAACCATGTTTTTTTCTGTTTTCTTATGCTAATTTAAGCTTGTTCTACCATTTCAGCTACTTTTTTTTTTAGCATTTTTTTTTAGCATTTTTTAGTTAATTTCAGCTGTTGTCAGATAAATTCAAGTTTTTCTTGGCAAGTTCTGCTACTTGTGGGCTATATAACTTTTTTATGCCAATTTCAACTTGTTATGCTCCTTTCAGCTTTTTTCTGCTATTTCAGCTACTATTTAGTTGTTTTTGGGTTTTTATACTGTTTGTGTCAATAAACAGCATAAAAACAGCCAATTCCACGTTTTGTTTTTTTTGGAACTCATTTCAACTCTTTCAGCTTCCTTCTGGTAATTTAAGCCTTTTTCTGCCTTTACAGCTACTTTTCAACTTTGTTTTTTTAATAATTTCAGCTTTTGTAGCTAGTTTTCGAATTTTTGTGCTCTTTTCTGCTTATTTAAACCCAATTCAGCAAATATGTGTTCTTTCTGCTTTCTTTGCTAATTTAGGCTTGTTCTTCATTTAAGCTTCATTTTAGAACTTTTTTTTAGCTAATTTTAGCTGTTTTTCAGCAAGTTTTTTTGCAATAAGCATTCTCACTGCATTTTCATAGGAAATGCAATGTCTCTAGTTTTTTTTTAGAGTTTGCTTTATTTTTAGTGTGAAACAGGATGTTGTGGCAGCACGTAATGTTTACAACACAGTCTGAGCAAACGTCCCGCTGACGGATTTGGTGCCGGGAGAGAAATGGCGCTTTGACTAAAATCTGAACCTTCTGTTTTGCAGAAGAAGAGGAGTTTGACATGTTCGCTCACACCAGAGGCAGCTCCTTGGCAGAGCAGAGAAAAGGGTGAGCAAAGATTAGAAGGAAGCACAAATATCCTTCCTGTATCCAGCTGAAGTTGTTAAGATTTACGTGACGGATCTATCAACATGTTCACGCCAGATAGAAGTTTGCTTTTAAACATTCTTAATTGCAGCTGGCTGCACTGGACTTTTCCATCTGACATCAACTAAAAGAAGAGTTAGCACAGCCGAAAATGAATCTCACGAGAAACACAAAAGTCTAGTTTATACCCAGTAACTCATATGTTTCATGATGGTTTACTATATATGTAGTAAATAAGTAGCCTTCCTTAACATCACTGTGCATGTCGAAACTAAAATGCTGCACATTCTGTTAGTACTCTGGGATGGAGATCACTCTCAGCTACTACCAAGTAAAGTTTTGCAAACCGAGTTGAGTCTAATCATTAATGGTAATGTTTTAAACAGGTCTTGTGCAATCAGTCAGCGCTCAGAGGAGCAGATCAAACGTTAGCTCAACTGAACTGAGTGATGTCCCTTCAGTCTGTGCCTCCTCATGATGAGGTGTGTGTGTGCGTGTGTGTGTGTGTGTGTAGTGTCAGGTATGAGCATCCTGGAGCTGTGGAAGGCCTCGCTGGAGCTCTGGACTCCAGGCTGCAGGTCACAGGAGGGGTGTGTATTCCACAGTAACACACACACAAAAGTGTTTTGTTTCGTCATCATTGGATGTTTCTGTGCGATGATGAAATTAGTTCTGTGCATTTAACCCATCACACGAGAAATACACCGGTGGAGTAAGCACCCGAGGAGCAGTTAGGGACACCACAACGTGGACTTTCTGGCCCCAAGTCGACTGCTCTACCCCCCAAACAACGACATAAAGAGATATGAGTTGGAGTCATTCTGGGTTGTTGTTTGTTTTTCTCATCAGATGCCTCCGAACAACGCTCTGCAGAGTGAATCAGACAAATGTTTAACGAGCGATGTGGTGAGAGGCAGCATGAACACTACGTGTAATGTTGCTGTGTAATTAAAGTGCAGCTCGTATTTATTACCGTTTGTGTTTACATTAGCAGGAAGAGCCGTCTTTGGTTTGTGAAGGCGTCACCAGTGAAGGTTTGTTGCTTCTTTTCTGTTTGATCCTAAAAAATAATGTTGGACAACACACTCCTTGTGTCTGAGGACGTGTTGACGACGAACGTGTCTCTCTCAGAGTTCGACAAGTTCCTGGAGGAACGGGCGAAGGCGGTGGACCACGGCGGTAACCAGACGAACCGCAGCGTGCCGCCCAGACCTCCGCCGCAGCCCACCCAGCAGCAGGACTCGTCACATGACCAACTCTTTGCTCTTTGAGCGTGAAAAATAAACCAAAGGAAAACCCGCGTTTCAAAATGAGTGTTCACACAGACTGAAGCTCAGTCCACTCGTTTTGTACACAAAGTGCTGTTTCTACTGTTCGCTGTCTTTATGTACATAAAAACAACTTTATGTGACTGTATTTAAGGTTTACTGTGATGATATGAACAAATGATGTGTAAAATATGTTTGATACTGTGCACGTGATGTGCCTTTGACCCAGACAGCTGATTCTGTGTAAATGAAAATAAAACATGGCGCTGCTCCGGAAAACAAACTGCAGCTCTCATTTCTAAAAACGTTTCCCTATTTTCACATAAATTACTCAACTTAATCAAAAAGACAGATTTAATTAAAATACATCAAGACAATAAAGGCAGTATAAACTTTTCTTCTTCCTAGAGGGAACGGAGTTGGAGACATAAATCACGTCCGTGCTCTCTTTCTCTCATGCAATATTATGAGATCTTCCACAATCTGTTAGCACTTAGAGTATGTGTTAAGGATGACTCTCAGCTACTTCCACACTGAACTTTAGCTCAGTATCTGTAAAATGAACAGAGCCATTTTTATGTAGCTATGGTTGCTTAGCTGTGGCAGCCATTTTGAAGGGAGTTGAATCCAAATGTTAACTAGAGAAATTAATTTCCTGTGAAAAATCAGTGTAAATGCTTATTGCTGAAGAACTTGCTTCTGAAAAACAGCGAAATTAGCTAAAAAAAATAATTCTGTAATGGAAGACCAAACCTAAATTAGTGTAAGAAAGCAGAAAGAGCATATATTTGCTGAATTACGTTTAAATGAGCAGAAAATAGCACAAACGTTAAGAAAATGGCAAAAACTAAGCTGAAATTGGAAAAAAAAAAAAAAGGCTGAAAAGGCAGAAAGAAGCTTAAATTACCAGAAGGAAGTGGAAAGAAATGAAATGAGCCCCAAAAAGGTGGAATTAGCTGAAAAAGCTACAGTTGGCATGAAAACAGCTAAATCGTAGCTGAAATAACCGCAGAAAAAGGCTGAAAGGAGCATAATACATGTAAATTACCATAAAGAAGTTAATGAGGTTGAAAGTAGCAAAAAATTACCATGAAAAACTTGAATTTTTTTAGGGAAAAAACAGCTGAAAAGGCAAAAAGAAGCTTAAACTATCAGAAGGGAAGTTTGAACGTTTCATTAAAGTGTGTCCCAACAGTTGAGCTATTTTGCTAACGCGTCATTCTAAATCATGTGACAAACTCAAGGCCCGGGGGCCAAATGTGGCCCTCGTCATCTTATCTGGCCCCCAAGACGATATGTGAAACATAAAATACTTTTATCACTTGAATTTTTTTTCAGTAATCTTTGATTATGATGTTGAAAGCACAACAGAGAACATGAAATGACACCAGTCAAACTCTTGATGAGGAACCTGTGACCAAGAAAAGATGTTTGGTATCTGGTTTGAGTTCATGTAGATTCTGATTAGATGTAGATTAAATTTGCTTTTTTGAGCACCTTAAGTGTCATTGGTGATTCTTTTATATCTTGTGTACACAGCATAATTTATGCATACATGGTAATAATAACGTGTATTCATCATAATTATTGTTTGCACAATATATTTTTCGTGCATCTGCACTAGACACATGCAAAAGATAATTACTACTTGTACAAATTAGGGCCCATGAAGCATGAAACTCTGTGCATTGATGATAAAAATCAATTAAAAAAAAGTTTTTCAAAAGTCCTAGTTCTTTAATGATTCTTGTCAATAAAACAGTTGTGAACAAAATGTAATTTGAGTACAGTACAGTAGTTTTATTATTTTTTTCCTATTTTCCTTTCCCACCACAGACGAGTAGGTGGCGGTAATGAACCTTTAAGGTAGTTGCTACCAAACAAAGAAAAGAAGAAGAAGAAAAAATATGGAAAAAGAAGAGAAAGCGAAGAAGAAGAAAAAGAAGATGGCTGCTGCTGCGATGGAAGACGAATTTGAAGATGCCCCCGACGTGGAGCCGTTAGAACCGACTCTGAAGAATATAATCGAGCAGAAATCACTAAAATGGATTTTTGTCGGTGGGAAGGGTGGCGTCGGCAAAACCACATGCAGGTAAACTGAAGGGAAACGCTGATATCCGTGTAAGCTACAAGCTAAGGGCTAAGCTAGCTGTCATAACGCGAGTCGACGTGGATCATAAACTGCAAATGACGTCACTTTTATTGGAATGTGGATTCAGGGCATTTAGACAAAATCCCTTCATTTTGTGTCAAGTGGAAAGCGTCATCTTTTAGCGTTAGCTGTGTAGCTAACGCTTTTTAGCACAGTCAGCAGCTAAAGTTAGCCGATCTAGTTGACATGCCAATTTCATTCAGTTTTGCTTGTTCATGCATGTCTTTCTCCATTTAGCCCGGCCAATGTTTACAGTAGCTAGACATGATTTAATCTAATCGACAGCTTTCTTATTTGTCAAACGAATGTGACAGGTTAATTTTAAAAATACTCATTGTCCTGTCATGAATCACGGTCTAAACACGCACAATCCGCACATTTTTTTTCCTCATATCGTTGGTTAATGTGTTCTAAATTATAAAAACATTTGTTTACTTAATGTGTGAAATGCTGCCAGTGCCAACCATCACGTGGGCTTGTTCACTTGTGGAAAACGTCAACAATGACAATCTATGAAAGAACTGTTTGGGATCGAGGCTGTTTTGGCACATATTTAAATTTATATTTGTTTAGTAAAGTATGCGGATAAAAGTGTGTTGTTTACATTGAATGTGGACCTGTATTTAAGAATTGCAAATCAGTATATCTGGAAAGTGGCTAGACCATTTGATTTCGTTTTCAGGGCAAAATTTTTATGTTTGGTTTGGTTTCATAATTTACAATTAAATGTTTGAGCCCAGGTTACATCGGGAAGGGTGTTGGGCTCAAACTATTGCCACATTTCTCGTGTGAGTTCGCTCGCTGCCCCGGCAGAAGGGAGCAGCTGAAAGAAAAACAACACCCTTATTTTATTTATAGGTCTGAGTTTAGTTGCCTCATAAATAAACAAGCATTTGCTTGAATTGTACTTCACTGGAAACAAATGAGTAAAATCGAAGCTAAAGTCCAAATTTAGATAAATCCTCAAAAAAATCTGAAAAAATGCTGATGAATACTTTTGTACAAGATTACAAGGAAGTCTAACTTCTTGAAAGCAAGATATAATAAATTGTGGGAGTGAACCATGTGTTTTGCACAGTATTGATGCCTCAGAGGTTATAAATAAATATATATTCACTGCTCCTGCAAAACATCACAACTAATATATTTAGTGTTGTTTTAAACAATGTTGATGCTTCATAGTTGGTTATTGATGAAAAAATTGTGATTCTTGGCAAAAGTTGTGATGCAACTCCTTCCCTTAAAGACTACACGCTGAACTTTTCTCATTCGTCAAAAAATATTTGACCAACTCTTATTTTTGACTGAGAACTAAACTTGGAGCTATAAGCTCATATTTCAGTATAATGTAAAATAATAATGGGATGGTTGTTAAGCTTTTAAAAACTGTACTTTGACCGATTACTTTTAAAAATATTTATTCTATTTTTTATTTATTTGTAAATATTTAACTTTATTTTCATAGCTGTAGTTTAGCTGTTCAGCTGACTGCTGTGAGGGAGAGCGTCCTCATCATATCTACAGATCCTGCCCATAACATCTCTGATGCTTTTGACCAGAAGTTCTCAAAGGTGCCTACAAAAGTCAAGGGCTATGACAACCTCTTTGCAATGGTAAGTAAAACTGTCAATAAAACTCTTCAGCACGCAAGAAAAAATTCTTTGAGAACTGTATTTATTAACATAAACATAGGATTAATTAAAATAGATATCCGCCCTTTTCAATTTCAGGCGGCAGACGGCAATTGCGTCACTTACTCAAGTGTCCGACGCCGCCTACATTGACGCATCATTGTCACATGACCGATTGTAGTGGCTCGAGCAGGAAAGACATCACGTCTTAGAGAAAGTACAGACTTTAATTGTGTTTTTAGGCCAAGTAAAAACAGAGTTAGGAAAAAATAATTCACATCACATCTTTTTCTGAAAATCATAATGGGCAGTCTCTGGGACAAAACATCCCCCATCCCCCTCCACTTGCACTTCTCACCCCCGCCAAATGGATAAACAACCTCACCACTCCTTTCTGACGGAGTCCCGAATTATTTGTGAAGCATCCAAAAAATTTACAGGAAGAAGAAGAAGGAGATGCAGAAGTAGGAGTTTGGTGCAGTAAAGACACAGCAAGAGTGATGAATGAGATTTGAAAGGTTTGTCATATTTAGCCTGTTTGTATTTTGAGTGTAGTTTAGTGTGTTTGAGTCAAAACAATCAGGCAATTTTTGAATGTGAGGAGGACGGAGCTGTGGAGTCAGAGCCTCAGACAGAAGAGAGGATTATAAATACAGAGATGAAGAAGAAAAACAGTCCGAGTCAGACAGTGAGGACTTTACTTGGGTGATCCATGAATTGTTTTAGAAGAATAAAGAGACGAATAGGGCCGGGCCCTTCTAGGAGTTCTAAATCTGCATGGGGGAGTGGGCACAGGGCAGTGCAACACACCATCAGGTCCAGAACCCTAGCTGGGCCAACAGAGCCAAGCATCAGTTCTGAGCTCTGTAGAACAGATGAGGATCTGTATTTTGACCCAGAGGTAAACGGGTTCCAGGCAGCACGGTGGCACAACTGGTAGAGCTGCTGCTCTCAGCGAGCAGGTCCTTGGTTCAAACCCCGGTCCAGGGGCCTTTCTGGGTGGAGTTTGCATGTTCTCTCCGTGCATGCGTGGGTTTTCTCCGGGTGCTCCGGTTTCCTCCCACAGACCAAAAACATGCATGTTAGGCTGATTGGTAACTCTAAGTTGTCCCTAGATGTGAGTGGGAGAGTGAATGGTTGTTTGTCTCGTTTGTCTCTATGTGGCCCTGTGATGGACTTGCGACCTGTCCAGGGTGTACCCCGCCCCTCGCACAGTGATTGCTGGACATGGGCACTGGCGACCCCGTGACCCAAAATGGAATAAGCGGGTAAAGATAATGGATGGATGGATGGTAAACGGGTTCCAGGCACAAAGAACACCAGCTAGAGGCACTTTCCCTCAGAGTCCAAAAAAGTCTTTGTGTTTTGCTCTGACCCAGTCTTGACAATCTGCAGCAACACCAACAAGAAGGCAACAAAAAATAAAGAATAGACTGGCAGACATGGAACATTTGTATTAAAGTTTTGATCTCCTGATTTGGTGTCCCAGCCAAGTATCCAGGATCAATTGTCTGAGCCCCTTCCAGCCAAAATCCACAAGATCTATATTTTGAAACATTCACCTAAGTGATTCTGAGCAGGATGTAGAAAATGACCAGAAAGGGGATATGATGATGCCTCTGCCTTATTTTGTACAGAAATGGTTTTATTGTAACAGAAAATGGCTGCTTTTCAATGAAAATGGTTTATTACGTCATAGGTTGCTAAGTTTGTACATGTTTATGAATATTACTGTTTATACTTGCATTCTAAAAAAAAAAAAACAGTTGTAAAAACAATTCATTATGAATGTTTGTGGTTTTAACAGTAAAAAAAAACAGTAATTTTCTGACACAGATTCATGTTTTTTTGGTGATTTTATGTCTATTTTGTTGATACAGTAGGTCAGAAGTAAAAAAATAAAAGTTTCCTGTTTTTATTTCATACGTCTCATCAGTCATGAGACTCTGTTCCACACGTGAATCTCACAAAGGCTGTTGTGTTAAAAAAGCACTGGAGGGAAGAAAAAAGAAATCGGTTTGTATGATTTGTTTTATACGTTTGGGTTTTAACAGGAGATCGACCCCAGCCTGGGTGTAGCAGAACTTCCTGACGAGTTCTTCGAGGAGGACAACATGCTCAGCATGGGCAAAAAGATGATGCAGGAGGCCATGAGTGCGTTCCCTGGCATCGACGAGGCCATGAGTTATGCAGAAGTCATGAGGTGAGGAGGTAAAATAGAAGCTTCTGAGAAGCATGAACACATGAAGTGTTGACAATGAGCTTGTAAACAAGCATTTTCTGTATCTGTGTACCTCAGGCTAGTGAAAGGGATGAACTTTTCCGTTGTGGTTTTCGACACTGCCCCCACCGGCCACACACTGCGGCTGCTCAACTTCCCCACCATCGTGGAGCGAGGCCTGGGTCGCCTCATGAAGATTAAAAACCAGATCAGCCCCTTTATCTCTCAGGTGAGGACGAATCAGCAGCTCTCCTTGCAGAATGCTTGCTGGTGCTGTAATATTTATTTATTTGTTTGTTTATTTGTTTTTAGATGTGCAACATGCTTGGTCTAGGCGACATGAACGCAGACCAGCTGGCTTCTAAGCTGGAGGAAACTCTGCCGGTGATTCGCTCAGTTAGTGAGCAATTCAAAGATCCTGTAAGTATCTGAACTATCATGTGTTTCCTTTATTGTGTTTGGTTGTTGTAGTATTATTATTTATTTATTTATTTATTTTGACTCGGCTCTATCTGCCACTTTGTCTGACTAGACTTTATATTTTTTAGATCTTGGGTTCAAGTGGTTTCAGATAGAACTGGCCCTGAGGTGTAAATGAACAACATTTGAAAAAATGGAATTGCATTAAGCCAAAGCGGAAGTTGTTTTTTATTTTTTATTTTAAACTTTATTAACAACATAGAACAGAAAATTCACAGTAGCAAGATACAAATACAAACTCTTGTGAAGGGTGTGTGGTCCATGTACCATTTGTTCAGTGGTTTTTTAATTGAGAATCCAAAATAATAATTAAAAAAACACCACTTATGGTTTGGCTAAATGTAATTTCGTTTTTTTCAAATGTTGTTCGTTTGCACTTCGGGGCCACCGTAAACTGGTTTCCCGATGCCAACTTAATCCCCATATGTTCTTGCCAAATTTCAATGAGTTCATCTTACTTTTGAAGTTCTAAATATTGCGGTTTTAATATTTTTGCAGGCTTGTTGAAAGCTCTGTTTGTGTTTTGTAACGGCTCCCTCTTCTCCACCTCGCCCGCTCCCAGGAACAGACCACCTTCATCTGCGTGTGCATCGCTGAGTTCCTGTCGCTGTACGAGACCGAGCGGCTGATCCAGGAACTGGCCAAGTGTCGCATCGACACTCACAACATCATCGTCAACCAGCTCGTTTTCCCCGACGGAGAGAAACCGTGTAAAATGTGCGAAGCTCGTCATAAAATTCAGTCCAAGTATTTAGATCAGGTAAGGTGGTTTTTAATCCTACACTACTACTGGAATGTCTTTGATTCATTTATTTATTTTTTAGGCTTAAGCCTCAACGCTCAGCTTTAAAACCTTCAACTATTTCATAAACTCAAAGGATAAATCAGCTTTGTGCCAACACTTAAAAAAACAGCAACAAATGTATTGAAAGTGATGTTGTGTGTTGCAGGAGCTGAAGACACAGAATGTGTTCAGATTTCTGTAGTTGAATCCAAACTATTTAGAACGTTACAGCTCTTTTTACTATTAATCCACTCATTTTGATTTATTTATGTCACACAGATGGTAGTTACCCTTCGCTTATGTTCATGTTGACTAGAATAATTGTCTCTTCTGTTTTTAAATGAGAAGTTTAGCCAGGGACGTTGTGTAAGAAAGAAAAAAAATCCAATGTGAAAGTATCTTGCATCTGGCCAGAGGCTGCAGTCAGTCCCTCGTCCAAAGGCCCGAAGAACTCGGAGCCTGCTTCAGAGGAGTCCGGCTCCTTCAAGTTTACGCTTGCAGCTCATTTTCAGCCGCGGTCCGTCTTTTCTCCACAGATGGAAGACCTTTATGAAGATTTCCACATAGTAAAGTTACCGCTGCTGCCGCACGAAGTTCGAGGCGTCGACAAGGTCAACACGTTCTCTAAGCAACTTCTGGAACCCTACAAACCCCCAAACAAGTGAACCCCTCCCTTTCTGCAGGACCTCCTCTCCTCCCCCACAAACAACACCTCAACTGTCCGAACGCTCCTCATCGACCTTTCTTTCTCCCAGCCCGCCTCACCCCTCCCAGCCCGCCTCACCCCTCCCAGCAGCATCTTCAACACAATCCTCTCAGTCCTCTGAAGAAGACACGTCCACCTTCCTGTGTTGAAGAGGAGCTGATGAGAACACACCTGCATTGGGATGAGACGGTCCATACTTGCGCTGTCTCGCGTCGTCCTCTCTTGTCCTCAGTTGCTCCAGTCTTAATGCGTTTAACTTGTTCTGAACAAACTCCTCGTCCTGTGCAGTTTACAGCCTGAAATGTGACAACAGTGACCGTGCTGTGTATCTACAGGACGAAGCCGCTCTCACGCGGTTGGTGTTATCGCCTTGTTTATTCTGTGATTTGGTGGCTGTGTCAGTTCTCCACTTTGAGTTTTTGACTAATTTTAAACTCCTTTACCTCGAGGAGTTCCGTTCAGATATGAGCTTTAACGATGCGGGGATTGGGGGATGAAATGTTAAAAATAAATTTGAGGTTCTGGGCGGTGTAAAATCTTTACGAAGATCATTCTGTTTTCATTAAAGACGGTAACATCATTTACCATCACATTCAGTGCTGACGTGGTTCTGGTGTCGCTTGGATTTAAACAGATCTGAATCCAAATGTGGTTATGTTAAAGCATCAAAGCCTTCATCAAATATTTTGTACCACTCTTGCTTTGTTGGCGACCGTACCAGTTTTGACTCGAGGTTAATTTAAGATGTTTTAACGAGTGGAAGCTGAAAGTGTTGTGATGCTACAGAGCTCAAGGTTAAAACTCATAAACGGTTTTTTAGCCTCTTACCCTTTTGGGAACGCTAACGAAGGGCAGTTGTATCTTCATTTAGCTAACTGAAGTGCGTATGGATTGTTTTTTTCATCTAATTTATGAGCAAATGATTGTAAACATCTTTACATTTTCTGATCGATCGATCGATACGCAGGTAGAAAACCTGTTCAAGCATCTTCATGTCAAATCCTAACATCCCTGCTCTGTTACTGAATGCTTTGAGTCTATCTGTTTTCTATAGATTTTATTTAAATTATATTGCAAGTGTGAATTAAACCTTCCTCAGCTTGCAACCGTTTGTGCTCTTTTATTCGGCTGTTCTGTGTTTACATTATTTAGTTTAACTAGAGAAATCTCCATTTTCTGTGCAATCAAGCGTGTGAACCCAGAGCTGAACGACAGCTGAAGAAAGTCAAACTAATAAAGTTCAAACAAGCAGAATGTAACTAAAGTATCAAAAGTGCAGCTAAAATTAACAAAAACCATAGCTAAAAATATAAAGTACAATAATAGTAATAGCTAAAGATAGGAAAATCATAGTTAAAAAATGTTTAACTACATAAAGGAATTATGAGCAGGACAGCACAAGCTAAAAGACCAAAAGTAAAATTGCAGCTAAAGCTAAAAAAAAAAAAAAGCTGATGCTAAATACTGAAAATGGCATAACTAGCTGCAAGTAAAACAAACCAACAAGAACAAAAAAAAGCTGTAATGCTAAAACTGGCTAACAGTGAAAATAAGTAGAACTGTAAAACTAGCTAAAAAATACAACTAGCTTAAAGCTAAAGATGGCAAAACAGTAGCTCAAAGTGACAATAGGCAAAACTAAAAATGGTAAGATGCAAATTCAGCAAAACAGGTGAAAGGTAAAAAAAAATGGCAAAATAGGTAAAGGCACAAAAAAAGGCAAACCATAACTAAATAAGCAAAAGTTAGCAGAACTGTATCAAAAATTGAAAGGGAAAAGTAAAACACCAGCTAAAATCTAAATTAAGAAAAACTTTAGCAAATCTTCAGCTAATACTGACAATAAGCAAATCTGTAGCTACAAACTGACAGAAGCAAACCCACAGGTGAAAGTCTAAAAAAGTTGTCAGGTACTCTGGATGTTCAAAATAACAAAATAAAACAAAATAATTGTAGAAACGGGTGAAAGCTAAAAAATAAAAATGGTAGCCAAAAGTGACAATGGGTGCTACCGCTACAAGCTGTCGTAAATTCGCAGATACCTAAAACCACAAGTGAAAACTGAAAATAGCTAACCTAGCTGAAAAACTTAAATGAACAAAAAAATTGCAGGACAGCAAAAACCTAAAAGACAAAATGCTAAACTAGCTAAAAGTTGAAAATGACTAGCTGAAAGCTAAAAGTAGCAGAAGTCATGCTAAAGCTGTAGCTAACAGCAAAAATGAAGAAAATCATAGCAAAAACATACAAAAGCAATAGCTAAAAGGAAAGTCCCAAAATAGAGCAAATATGCTGAAGTAGATTTCATAGAGCAGTAATTTTGACAGAGTTGAAGAATTTGTTTTTGTGGAGATTACTTTGAAAATAATGTTCAATAATTCAACAAGTTACAATAATAACGGCACATTTCTCCACCAAGCTGAACATTCTGATTGCAGAACACGTGCCGAAGAAACGCTTCACTCTGTTTGAAGTAACGCGAGTGAAACTAACGAGTTCTGACAGCATGAAGCCAACATCTCAGAGAACAAACAAGCCTCCTGCTGAACGGAACCGGTTTGGAAAAACATCTGTACAAAAACACCTGGAATTAACTTTAATCCCTGCTTACAATAAACAAGCTCTTTTTATTACAGTTGGCTTCGTTTTCTAGTGGAGCTGCAACAAGTCGTAAAGTCAGATCTGTAGCAGGAAAAGAGCTCATTTCAGCGTCTCGCCTCCAAAGAACCACGGTCCACTTTGCGTTTCATAAACCTCTGGAACTGTGCAGCTCTGTGGCCTGTCGCTTGTGGTCCATCACCGGGCCCTGCTCTCCCGGTCGGGGGCCACACTAATGAGCTCCTCCTCCTTGTTTTGGGGATTTACCCCCCGGGGTGCACTGACCGCAGCTGACTCCAGAAGACATCAGGGTTGTGAGCTCCTTGAACGAACATCAGGGTCTGAATTCGCTGCTTCAGCGGCGCTGGTTACGCACAAAGATGAGCTGAGCTGATCAGCTGCAGACAAACCATCTCACGAGGTAAGAGGAACAGTTGATTTGTTTCTGTTGCTCAAATTGATTTGCGTCTCCCCTTTTAAAGTGAAGACCTGGAAACGTTCACCGATGACTGTCACCTACACGGCCAGGGTGGCAAACGCCCGCTTCTGCGGCTTCTCCAAGCTGCTGCTTGCCTGGAAAGGAAGCATCTACAAAGTTCTGTACAAGGAATTTGTTGCCTTTTTTGTCATGTACGCATCAATCAGCATCACTTACAGGTGAGACACGCAGCAGATGGAAGTCTTTACCAGTTTTTTGATGCATTGATGCAATGTGTTCAACTCAATAGTACTTCTTATAGTTATTTAACAGTCAACAATGGTGTACCACAAGGTTCAGTCTTAGGACCACTCTCTTTACAATCTACATGTAGGTCAGATCATTCCTCATGCATCCTTACACTTCTATGCCAACGATACAGTTGTTTATTGGAGAAATAATCGGGGAGCAGTCGGTGAAACACGTGTAAATTAAAGCAGCAGGTGGTTTTCTGAGCTTTTCAAGACTTTGTACAGATGCTGAAAACAGAATAATTTTTATTTTTCACTATGGTTATTTCTTCCCTTATTATGAACGTGACAGCGGTTTTTAAAAATGACACGTCTGTAGCTGGAAACTCCACCAGTGCCATTTCTTATGAATGGGAGTACTACTATGATTACCTTGATCCTGTGATTGTGGATGAGAGCAAGCTGAAATACAATAAAAATTCAATTGTCATAATACTGTGGATGTCTGGCTGCTTTTGTGGGATTCCTCTTTCTCAGCTTGAATCTGATGTCTGTGAGAGGAAAGTTGCCAAAGATGCATAAATTCAAAGTAAGAAGACACCACAGAGGACCAAATGCTTAAAGATGGCTCTGATGGCTGTTTGAGTCTTTGATGGTTTGGATGCTTTTCGGTCGTTGCTCTCGACTTTTGTCACCAAACGAGCGTGAGACAGGAACCGTTCTGCAGAGGCGGCTCCACTCCACAGTTCGTGGATGTACAACGACAACAGAAACAGTCCAGATCCTGAAAAGAAGAAAACAAAAGTTCAATTAAATCTCTTTACAAACGAGAGAAGGAAAAAAAAAAGTTGTTTATTGACAAGCTAAAACAGTTGCTAAGGTTTTCCAGCTTTTACGGTTTGCATTCGACATCATCCAATCTGACTTGTTCCATCTTGAACTGCTGCTAAATGCTGATAAGTCAAACAGGAAGCCGGTACCAGCAGTCCTTCTTTCTATGTTATCTACGAATGGTGTTCCCATTGAGTTGGTCAATTCTCACAAATACTTGGGAATCTTGGTCGATGCACATCTCTCTTTTAAACATCATGACAAAAATTTGATTAAAAAAATTGAAATTAAAACTGGGCTTCTTTTTCATAAATAGATCTTGTTAAACTCTGAATGCTAAGAGACGCCTTGTAACTGCTACTTTCCTTCCAGCCATTGACTACGGTGACATTATTACATGAACGTCCCTACAAGCACCCTGCAGATGTTGGCTAAGATTTATAAATGGCTGTAACTACCATACCCATCACTGCACCCTGTATTCACTGGTAATAATGGTCATCATTAACTCCATGCAGACTCTCACCCTGGTACATTTTCATCTTTAAATCACTCCTTGGTCTGCTGCCTTCATACATCTCCTCCTACATGTCATGTCACGTCAGTGCAGCTACAGCGTGCGCTCTCAAGACATCATTACCTGCAGCGTCCCCTCAGTGCGGAGTGAATTCAGAAAAAGGCCTTCTCTTACTCTGCTCCTGTTTCCTGGAACACCTTGTAAAATTATATGAAGCTGTTGACCTTGACCTCTAAGGGATTTTAAACAATTAAGTTCAATGAAAATCAACGCAGATGTTCGTTTTTAGTATTTTGCCCTGTTTCATAATGTAGCTTGTTTTTATGGTTTTATGTCACTACTTTTATTTACTTTTCATTTTATATGCTTTTTATGACCATTTATTGTTTTGTGTACCTTTTTTTGTTGTTGTTGTTTATAACAGGTCTCTTGAAAATGAGTCCTCATGACTCAGTAAAACTAACCTGTATAAATAAAGGATGAATGAATTGTCGTTTAATAAAAAACCCTGAATTTCTTTCTTTCTTTTTTAACCCACTTTAGATTTTTCCTCTTTGATGACCAGAAAAGATATTTTGAAAAGCTGGCAATTTATTGCAACCATTATGCGAGTCTCATCCCCATGTCCTTTGTCCTGGGTAAGACTTATTGATCTCTTTTAGGACTTTGTCAGACTTGTTCCAACACAAAGGTAGAGATGCTACTGTATGTAATATAAGTTGGACTTTAGAGTTTCTCAGGATATTTCATGATGTTTTCGGCTTTTCATCTACACCTTTGGGGTGCTGTAGCTCAGTGGTCAGTGCCACGGTCTCGTAATCCTCAGGCTGCAGGTTCAAGTCCAGGTTGTGTCAGAAAGGGTGTTTCAAACAATTCTTCTCCCTGTGACGAGCCCTGAAAGAAAAACAACCTACACTCACTTCAGTGCCACTTAATCCTTGTTTTTAATGAACTTATTAATCAGAAGTTGGTTTTAAGTCTAAAAACACAAGTTTGCCCTTTTCTGTTTCTGTTGTCAACTTTTTCCATGATAAATTAGACACATAAATACCGTAAATAAATTTAATCTGTTTTATATGAAGTTATCACAATTTACTGTCTTTCGGATGTCCAGTTATAGAGCTCACGTGAGCTGATGATCGAGTGAAACCACAGTTCCTTTATGGCCAGTAGCCCTAACCTTTATATATACATCAACAAAATATAACAATAATTTCCTAAAATCTTAAATAAACATACATTTATCAATCCTTAGAAGAACTTGTACACTTAACATAACATAACTTAACATAAAAGAGCCTTCTCGCTTAAAATGTAAAATTTTGGGCTATAGTAATTGTAGCAGCTGCTGCTGCATTTTTATCTTCCTTTATAGCTGATTAAATATGCACAGATACTGCTGACTGATGTTTTATTTTAAAAAGTATCGGCCAATTAAACTGTCTAATTAGATCCTGGTTGAATTTATGCATTTAATTGTGTTAATGTTAAATACTAAAGCATCATGTAAGAATAGCCTTTATAGCCACATTACATACTGAGAATCTGATTTGTGTTTTTTTTATTTTTAACATTTGACAAATTAATCAAGATAACAAATTAAGTGGTTCCCAACCCTGGTCCTTGAGGAACACCATCCTGCACGTTTCAGATGTTTCCTGCTTCAACACGCCTGATTCAGTGATTTAATTACTTCCTTAAGTTCTGCAGAAGCCTGTTAATCACCCATTCATTCAAATCAGGTGTGTCAAAGCAGGGAAACAGGTAAAACATGCAGGATGGTGTTCCTCAAGGACAATGGTTGGGAACCACTGGTTTAGAAATCATAGCAGATATATATTTTTTTACGTCTATATGTTTTTTTCATTTAATAAAACACCTATATTACAATAAATCTATACATTTAAGAACCCTAACTGGGTTTTTAAAAGTATCGGTTGATTAAAATCAGCCGGCTTGCCTCTTGGTTCAATAGTGCTTTTCAGAATTAGTCTATGGTTGTTGGTTGTTTTTCATTCCTTCACTTTTTCATGCTTTCATTTGCAGTCAGGTCAATATGACCTCAGTGTTCATTCTAACCACGGAGGAAATACATTTTCTGTACATCTTTTTATTGTAATAGAAACAGTTTGGTGTAAGAAACCCAGAGAGCAGCGAAGACAAGGTTGGAAATTTAAAGTCCAACACATTCTTGCAGATTGTGTGTCTGCCGCTGTTTCTGCAGGTTTCTACGTGACCCTAGTGGTGAACCGCTGGTGGAGCCAGTACACCAGCATCCCGCTGCCCGACAGCCTCATGTGCGTCCTGTCGGGGAGCCTCCAGGGGACGGACGAGCGAGGACGCCTGCTGAGACGCACACTGATGCGCTACGCCAGCCTGTCTGCGCTGCTCATCCTGCGCTCCGTCAGCACGGCCGTCTTCAAACGCTTCCCCACCGTGGACCACGTGGTGGAGGCCGGTGAGAAACACAGGATGAAACACAACCTTCATCTGAGTTACGCTTCCCCATCAGAGCAAACGAGCCACTGGGGCATTATGTTTAGTGGCTTTTAAACCCCAAAACACATTACAGCAAAGACTGGTTCATCCCAAAGATCCAGTCCCCCGGCACAGACAAAGTAATGTTGTGTATGTTGTTCAGTGTCAGGAGGGTGATCAGTCTTACATCGGGGAAACTAAACAGCCACTGGCCAAAAGGATGGCCCAGCACAGAAGATCAACATCATCAGGCCAGGACTCTGCGGTCTACACTCATCTCCAGGCCAGCGGTCACTCTTTCAAGGATGAAGATGTTCACATCCTGGATAGAGAGGAACGATGGTTTGAGAGAGGAGTAAAGGAGGCCATCTTTGTGAAAAGAAACCATCCATCATTAAACAGGGGTGGAGGCCTCTGTGTTCAACTGTCCCCTCTTACAATGCTGTGATTGCTAGTATCACTCAGCCCTCTGTGAGTAGTAAACAGCCATCAGTGTGCTAATGATCCATTGTTAGGCTGATGGTCCTTCTTGAGCATGTGATCAGCTGGTTTTGGTTGTCAGCAGCAAAACTGGTTGATCCACTCTGAGAAGGTGCTATTTAAGAGACAGAGCTGAATACAGCACCTCAGACTGAGGAAGTCTCTCAGATGAGAGACGAAACGTTTCTACATTTTTTTTTTTTTTGAATGTCCAGAGGACCAGACTTAACTTTTTTAGATTTTTCTACCTGGATTATTGAGCGTGCATCAGAACAACCCAAATTATGTTATTTTCCACAATTTATCATCAAATGTTATTTTATTCCTAACACTTCCTCACCCTGGGTTCACTTGTCTTGGATAAGTTGTCAATAAATCTGAAGCATGTTGTTCTTCTTTCACTGCCGTTCGTCCAGGATTCATGACGAGAGAGGAGCGAAAGAAGTTCGAGGGCCTCCGCTCTCCTTACAACAAATACTGGATCCCGTGCGTTTGGTTCACCAATCTGGTTGCAGTGGCTCGCTGCGAGGGAAGAATCAAAGATGAGCATGCGTTCAAACTGCTGCTGGAGGTGCAGCAATCACACACGCACATCTTCACACGCACCTGGTGATTGAGCTGAAGTTCTAGCAGCTCATTTCTGTTTCTGCGTGAACAGGAGCTGAATGCGTTCAGGGGGAAGTGCAGCATGCTGTTTCACTACGACATGATCAGCGTGCCGCTCGTGTACACTCAGGTACGTGCACACGCTAACCTAATTTAATCATACGTAGGTAAATGTTGGATTTAGTGCAACTTGTATTTTTCGTCTGAAACGACTGGAAACGTTGAACATGTGAGGAGAGAAGGTGAGGGATGTTTCAAAATACACACAGTGACTTTTTTTCTTCCAAATTTGGGATTATTTCACTACATATTTTTAAAAAATAAATTTTCTTGTGTGACCTTTGAGTTTTATTCCAAATCTTAAAGCTACTCATTGCAACGTCATGAAGCCTGTCACAAAATCCGTCATAACCAAATAATGAAAATCTATGCTATATTGTTTCTCGTATCAGTGATTAATATGTCCTTAAATTAAACGTTTGTAAGCAAAACTTGTGAATGGATGCCAATTCTACGTGTATTTTAACTTTTTAAAATAGGTCAACCATGGCAGCATCCACTAAAGAGCCATTTGGGATAAGATTTCCGACAGTTTTGATGTATTTGTAGGTATTTATGCTCAGATTTGTTGAGTAAACTATGCAGAAGAAAGACAGATTTGTTTGAAATGGTAAACTTAGCAGACATTTTGCAAAAGCCGTTTGTTTGAATGCTGAGCTCTGTCTTTCTGGTGCTCCACCGCCCTCCTGTCTTACCCGATCTTTCTCTTTTCTTTCACCTTCAGTAGCAGGTTCACACTTATACCGTATTTCCTCCTAAATCTTCTCAAAGAATATGCTTGTCCAGTTCTGCCATATTTGTTTACCTGCACAGACAGCTTAACGTAAGTCAATCGAGCTTCTGTGGTCTGATTTAGACGAACGTTTGTGTACACTGAGCGTGGGCACGCATTTCAAATTACATATCGGTGTACCAGAAAACTACTGGGGTGAACACTTTCAAACTGCACCGTTTGACTGGGATAACCTTTTTAATGTTAGAGTTCACATTTTGCAGTGAGAACCTGCAACAGCTTCTGTGAACTCCATGGTGTTTATTTTCTGACAGCTGTTATTAGCAGCATGAATGAGGTTGGTTTAAACCTGGAGCTCCAGCAGCAGCCACTAGAGGGCGTCCTAACAAAACAGATGGATAGTAGATACAATGCCTTGCGAAAGTATTCGGCCCCCTTGAACTTTTCAACCTTTTGCCACATTTCAGGCTTCAAACATAAAGATATAAAATTTTTATTTTTTGTGAAGAATTGACAACAAGTGGGACACAATCGTGAAGTGGAATGAAATTTATTGAATGTGTCAAACTTTTTTAACAAATAAAAATCTGAAAAGTGGGGCGTGCAATATTATTCGGCCCCTTTACTTTCAGAGCAGCAAACTCACTCCAGAAGTTCATTGAGGATCTATGAATGATCCAATGTTGTTCCAAATGACTGATGGTGATAAGTAGAATCCACCTGTGTGTAATCAAATCTCCGTATAAATGCACCTGCTCTGTGATAGTCTCAGGGTTCTGTTCAAAGCGCAGAGAGCATCATGAAGACCAAGGAACACACCAGGCAGGCCCGAGATACTGTTGTGGAGAAGTTTAAAGCCGGATTTGGATACAAAAAAAATTCCCAAGCTTTAAACATCCCAAGGAGCACTGTGCAAGCAATCACATTGAAATGGAAGGAGTATCAGACCACTGCAAATCTACCAAGACCCGGCCGTCCCTCTAAACTTTCATCTCGAACAAGGAGAAGACCGATCAGAGATGCAGCCAAGAGACCCATGATCACTCTGGATGAACTGCAGAGATCTACAGCTGAGGTGGGAGAGTCTGTCCATAGGACAACAATCAGTCGTACACTGCACAAATCTGGCCTTTATGGAAGAGTTGCAAGAAGAAAGCCATTTCTCAAAGATATCCATAAAAAGTGTTGTTTAAAGTTTGCCACAAGCACCTGGGAGACACACCAAACATGTGGAAGAAGGTGCTCTGGTCAGATGAAACCAAAATCCAACTGTTTGGCCACAATGCTAAACGATATGTTTGGCGTAAAAGCAACACAGCTCATCACCCTGAACACACCATCCCCACTGTCAAACATGGTGGTGGCAGCATCATGGTTTGGGCCTGCTTTTCGTCACAGAGACAGATGGATACCGGTAGAGACAGATAGATGGATACCGGTAGAGACAGATTGATGGATACCGGTAGAGACAGATAGATGGATAACTGTAGATACAGATAGATAGGTAGGTCGGTAGGCAAATAGGTTAATAGATAGATAGATACCGGGATAGATAGATAGACACTGGGGTGGGTAGGTAGGTACTTATGCACTGTACATGCATACATACAAATCGGATTCCAAAAAAGTTGGGACACTAAACAAATTGTGAATAAAAACTGAATGCAATGATATGGAGGTGCCAACATCTAATATTTTATTCAGAATAGAACACAAATCACAGATCAAAAGTTTAAACTGAGAGAATGTATCATTTTAAGGGAAAAATCTGTTGTTTCCAAATTTCATGGTGTCAACAAATCCCAAAAAAGTTGGGACAAGTCCATTTTTACCACTGTGTGACATCCCCCCTTCTTCTTACAACACAACAGATGTCTGGGGACAGAGGAGACCAGTTTCTCTTGCAGGGTCTTCCCTGAAAGAGATGACGTCTAGATGGGAGCATATGTTGTTCTAGAACCTGAACATAGTTATCTGCATTAATGGTGCCTTTCCAGACATGCAAGCTGCCCATGCCACAAGAGCTCATGCAACCCCATACCATCAGTGATGCAGGCTTCTGAACGGAGCGTTGATAACAACTTGGGCTATCCTTGTCCTCTCTGGTCCGGATGACATGGCGTCCCAGTG